TAAACAGTCCTGTTTAAGTACTGAAGCATTGATATCGCATTACTGGTTTTCCGATCTCAATTTTGCAATCTCTAATCATAAATAAAGTGACATTGTCCAGTGGCATCATAAAGTTTTTAGCATGTTTTTCTGTGCATTTATCTCAATATACGAAAGCAAATGGGATGGAAGAGATATTATGACTTTGAAAAAGAAGAAAAAACTCAAACCTCAGTTTTGGAGTTTTGACCTCGAATCTTTTTCTGCATTGTAAAAACTGCTCATCAAACAATTTCATATATGGAAAATGTGGAAAACGTTTATAAAAGCAATATTTCCATGCACTCCATTCTTGGAATTGTATGATCAATTGTTTTTGTCTGTAAATCTTTGATGAGCGTTTTTAGTGCTCGACTGATAGCCATCAAACACGGAATTTTTAATTGCATATTTTTGCATTTCAACCCTTATGCAAAAAAAAATCACCGGGTTTACCCCAGGTATTAGAAAATTGAACAGACAACCGAGTCTTTCTTTAAAAAAGCTACCCTCAGACACACTTGTGGGTTACTGTAAGGATTTTCCATAGTTATCATGATGTTCTAATTGTTAATGGTGCCAGTAATTCTCGTGCATCTTTCTAAGCATCCATTAGAAAATAAAACACCAGTAGGACTGTCGTCATGTTCAGAACGTGCCATATCCAGAAGGCTCTATCAATAAAAATAGCCAAATAGCGCCATTGCTGAGCCGAGCACTCCAATTCCAGTTCACTTGTCTTCTCTTTCTGGTTCGGGCTCTCCTGGACATTCAGTTTCTCCGTTAAATCAACCTTTCTTTTTGGTTCAAGTCGAAAATCAGAGTCTGCATTTTCGGAGCTCGGTTTCTCGCTAAATCGGTCTTCTTTTTGATCGGATCTTCGAGAACGTTTGAATGGGACTGGACATGGTTTCAAGAATAGGTATCCAACAAACTTGCTCGAGATGAGACGCTGCAGCCATTCGTACATCACCAAATAAGGGGAATTGTTGTGAATGTTGACGACTAAAATGTTCTTTTTTATACATAATTTTCATATCAAAGATCGCTATTCGACCATTAATTGGTTTTTTGAGGTTCTTTTTTTTTGAAATAACAACTTTTTGTGTCCGAGGGAGAGATCACCGTTTGACCATTAACTAGTTATATGAGGTTGACATAACGTCTTTTTTAATTTTGGTTTGGAATATTGCTAGTCATACATCCAATAGATTGGAAACTGTATGACTTGCCATTTCAGTGAATGGCGATCAACCAGAGTAGCCATGGATACCAATTAAAGAGGAGAGACTGGAAAAAAAAAACATTTCAACCGGCAATTTTGTCTTTCAGTTACAGCGATTTTAGATGCTTGAAAAATCGTTTTTTTTCTACCTTCTAAAGAGACCGCAAACTTTTCTGGAAGCAATTCATTGGTTAAAAGGAAAACATAACAACGCACAATTTCAATCAAGATTAATCAGTAGAATAATGTGTCTCCGCGTGTTTTTGTTCGTATAATAAAATATTACGGACAGGTACTTTACGGATCTCGTAATATAATACCACGATTTTGTCAAAATTGCCTTCTTCGGCCAAACTACACCTTTATAAGACGCTTCATTTGAAAATTAAAAACCGGTCTTAAAATCTATCAAAAATCAATTGCAAATTCATCTATCAAAGTTTTATTGACTCCAAAGAACCTCGTTGAATTACTTCTTAGTATAAACCTAGTCTGCAAGTAATATGTTTGTGGAATCCGCAAAATTTAAACAGAGTCCGCTTTTACATTCAATTTGGTGAGAGCAACTAAAAGATTGCTAGAATCAGCTCAAAAGTGAACAAAAAAGCAATGGAAGATCAGACAACACTTTAATCGCTTCCTTCGTAGTGCGCACACCAGTTCGATTATTTTTTGCGCGGAGCGTAACAATCTGATGATAGTTAAAATAACAAAGGTGTTTGACAAACTGATGATCATGTTTGAGCAAAGGGGAGAAAAACAAACGGATTAATCGGTGAAGACTATTCAAATTGTTTGGGGGACGGATTTCGCAAACAGTTGCAAAACATTCGTTGAAAAGAGATCGTGAAAGTATGCAATTCAACTATTCAACAAATTCAGTTATGCCATTGTTGCACCTTTTTTTTTTCCTGATTACTTGCAGAGTGAGGAAGTTGGTATTAAACAGTCCTGTTTAAGTACTGAAGCATTGATATCGCATTACTGGTTTTCCGATCTCAATTTTGCAATCTCTAATCATAAATAAAGTGACATTGTCCAGTGGCATCATAAAGTTTTTAGCATGTTTTTCTGTGCATTTATCTCAATATACGAAAACAAATGGGATGGAAGAGATATTATGACTTTGAAAAAGAAGAAAAAACTCAAACCTCAGTTTTGGAGTTTTGACCTCGAATCTTTTTCTGCATTGTAAAAACTGCTCATCAAACAATTTCATAAATGGAAAATGTGGAAAACGTTTATAAAAGCAATATTTCCATGCACTCCATTCTTGGAATTGTATGATCAATTGTTTTTGTCTGTAAATCTTTGATGAGCGTTTTTAGTGCTCGACTGATAGCCATCAAACACGGAATATTTAATTGCATATTTTTGCATTTCAACCCTTATGCAAAAAAAAATCACCGGGTTTACCCCAGGTATTAGAAAATTGAACAGACAACCGAGTCTTTCTTTAAAAAAGCTACGCTCAGACACACTTGTGGGTTACTGTAAGGGTTTTCCATAGTTATCATGATGTTCTAATTATTAATGGTGCCAGTAATTCTCGTGCATCTTTCTAAGCATCCATTAGAAAATAAAACACCAGTAGGACTGTCGTCATGTTCAGAACGTGCCATATCCAGAAGGCTCTATCAATAAAAATAGCAAAATAGCGCCATTGCTGAGCCGAGCACTCCAATTCCAGTTCTTTTGTCTTCTCTTTCTGGTTCGGGCTCTCCTGGACATTCAGTTTCTCCGTTAAATCAACCTTTCTTTTTGGTTCAAGTCGAAAATCAGAGTCTGCATTTTCGGAGCTCGGTTTCTCGCTAAATCGGTCTTCTTTTTGATCGGATCTTCGAGAACGTTTGAATGGGACTGGACATGGTTTCAAGAATAGGTATCCAACAAACTTGCTCGAGATGAGACGCTGCAGAAATTCGTACATCACCAAATAAGAGGAATTGTTGTGAATGTTGACGACTAAAATGTTCTATTTTATACATAATTTTCATATCAAAGATCGCTATTCGACCATTACTTGGTTTTTTGAGGTTCTATTTTTTTAAAATAACAACTTTTTGTGTCCGAGGGAGAGATCGCCGTTTGACCATTAACTAGTTATATGAGGTTGACATAACGTCTTTTCGTTTTCATTAGGAGAAAAAATTTTGGTTTGGAAAATTGCTAGTCATACATCCAATAGAATGGAAACTGTATGACTTGCCATTTCAGTGAATGGCGATCAACCAGAGTAGCCATGGATACCAATGAAAGAGGAGAGACTGGAAAAAAAAACATTTCAACCAGCAATTTTGTCTTTCAGTTACAGCGATTTTAGATGCTTGAAAAATCGTTTTTTTTACCTTCTAAAGAGACCGCAAACTTTTCTGGAAGCAATTCATTGGTTAAAAGGAAAACATAACAACGCACAATTTCAATCAAGATTAATCAGTAGAATAATGTGTCTCCGCGTGTTTTTGTTCGTATAATAAAATATTACGGACAGGTACTTTACGGATCTCGTAATATAATACCACGATTTTGTCAAAATTGCCTTCTTCGGCCAAACTACACCTTTATAAGACGCTTCATTTGAAAATTAAAAACCGGTCTTAAAATCTATCAAAAATCAATTGCAAATTCATCTATCAAAGTTTTATTGACTCCAAAGAACCTCGTTGAATTACTTCTTAGTATAAACCTAGTCTGCAAGTAATATGTTTGTGGAATCCGCAAAATTTAAACAGAGTCCGCTTTTACATTCAATTTGGTGAGAGCAACTAAAAGATTGCTAGAATCAGCTCAAAAGTGAACAAAAAAGCAATGGAAGATCAGACAACACTTTAATCGCTTCCTTCGTAGTGCGCACACCAGTTCGATTATTTTTTGCGCGGAGCTTAACAATCTGATGATAGTTAAAATAACAAAGGTGTTTGACAAACTGATGATCATGTTTGAGCAAAGGGGAGAAAAACAAACGGATTAATCGGTGAAGACTATTCAAATTGTTTGGGGGACGGATTTCGCAAACAGTTGCAAAACATTCGTTGAAAAGAGATCGTGAAAGTATGCAATTCAACTATTCAACAAATTCAGTTATGCCATTGTTGCACTTTTTTTTCCTGATTACTTGCAGAGTGAGGAAGTTGGTATTAAACAGTCCTGTTTAAGTACTGAAGCATTGATATCGCATTACTGGTTTTCCGATCTCAATTTTGCAATCTCTAATCATAAATAAAGTGACATTGTCCAGTGGCATCATAAAGTTTTTAGCATGTTTTTCTGTGCATTTATCTCAATATATGAAAACAAATGGGATGGAAGAGATATTATGACTTTGAAAAAGAAGAAAAAACTCAAACCTCAGTTTTGGAGTTTGAACCTCGAATCTTTTTCTGCATTGTAAAAACTGCTCATCAAACAATTTCATATATGAAAAATGTGGAAAACGTTTATAAAAGCAATATTTCTATGCACTCCATTCTTGGAATTGTATGATCAATTGTTTTTGTCTGTAAATCTTTGATGAGCGTTTTTAGTGCTCGACTGATAGCCATCAAACACGGAATATTTAATTGCATATTTTTGCATTTCAACCCTTATGCAAAAAAAAATCACCGGGTTTACCCCAGGTATTAGAAAATTGAACAGACAACCGAGTCTTTCTTTAAAAAAGCTACGCTCAGACACTCTTGTGGGTTACTGTAAGGGTTTTCCATAGTTATCATGATGTTCTAATTATTAATGGTGCCAGTAATTCTCGTGCATCTTTCTAAGCATCCATTAGAAAATAAAACACCAGTAGGACTGTCGTCATGTTCAGAACGTGCCATATCCAGAAGGCTCTATCAATAAAAATAGCAAAATAGCGCCATTGCTGAGCCGAGCACTCCAATTCCAGTTCTTTTGTCTTCTCTTTCTGGTTCGGGCTCTCCTGGACATTCAGTTTCTCCGTTAAATCAACCTTTCTTTTTGGTTCAAGTCGAAAATCAGAGTCTGCATTTTCGGAGCTCGGTTTCTCGCTAAATCGGTCTTCTTTTTGATCGGATCTTCGAGAACGTTTGAATGGGACTGGACATGGTTTCAAGAATAGGTATCCAACAAACTTGCTCGAGATGAGACGCTGCAGAAATTCGTACATCACCAAATAAGAGGAATTGTTGTGAATGTTGACGACTAAAATGTTCTATTTTATACATAATTTTCATATCAAAGATCGCTATTCGACCATTACTTGGTTTTTTGAGGTTCTATTTTTTTAAAATAACAACTTTTTGTGTCCGAGGGAGAGATCGCCGTTTGACCATTAACTAGTTATATGAGGTTGACATAACGTCTTTTCGTTTTCATTAGGAGAAAAAATTTTGGTTTGGAAAATTGCTAGTCATACATCCAATAGAATGGAAACTGTATGACTTGCCATTTCAGTGAATGGCGATCAACCAGAGTAGCCATGGATACCAATTAAAGAGGAGAGACTGGAAAAAAAAACATTTCAACCAGCAATTTTGTCTTTCAGTTACAGCGATTTTAGATGCTTGAAAAATCGTTTTTTTTACCTTCTAAAGAGACCGCAAACTTTTCTGGAAGCAATTCATTGGTTAAAAGGAAAACATAACAACGCACAATTTCAATCAAGATTAATCAGTAGAATATTGTGTCTCCGCGTGTTTTTGTTCGTATAATAAAATATTACGGACAGGTATTTTACGGATCTCGTAATATAATACCACCAATTTTGTCAAAATTGCCTTCCTCGGCCAAACTGTACCTTTATAAGACGCTTCACTTGAAAATCAAAAACCGGCCTTAAAATCTATCAAAATTCAATCGCAAATCCATCTATCAAAGTTTTATTGACTCCAAAGAACCTCGTTGAATTACTTCTTAGTATAAACCTAGTCTGCAAGTAATATGTTTGTGGAATCCGCAAAATTTAAGGAGAGTCCGCCTTTACATTCAATTTGGTGAGAGCAACTAAAAGATTGCTAGAATCAGATCAAAAGTGAACATAAAAGTATTAATGACTGACCCATGACTGCAGTGACACAAGTCCAAGTAAGGTGAAAAGTGATACAAGCTATCAAGTAGATCAGATAGGGCACGTTGTGCGAGCTAGCAGGCAGAATGTCCACCAGGGTGCCATAGGTCACGATCTCAGTTAGCAGAATGGTCACTGCAAAAGAAACTTTCTCCCCCGAGTCAGCTGGTATGAAGAAAGTCACCGCGGATAGCAAGTATAGAACCACACAGGGGTACACGAATACAATCTGGTAGAATAATGGTCGACGTTTGAATTTGATGGTCACTTGGATAATTTCTCTGGTCGGAACTCCGTGCCAAACAAGTAGGGTTTTTTGGATTTCGGGGGCTTCCACTAGAATCCATTGGTCATGAGGTGTGAAGTATTGTAAAGGCATTTGGTACTTATTTGATCCAGTGTCAGAATAGTAGCTGGACTCTAGGTCTAAAAAACGCATCGCATACTTTTCTAAACTATACCACAGTGTTCTCGGAGTTAAAATTTTGAGAAAAAACTATATTCCTTATTTTTTGTAATGTTTCTTGGAATATTTGCAGTCATTTTGGATGATTCTGGGAAGATTTGCATTTCATTTGCAAGAAACAAGCTAAAATTGGCATTTTAATTCAAACCTATTCACAATTTTTTTTGTTGTCTTTGGTATGTTCGGTGCAAATTAAATTATATATTAGTCTGTAGCAGATTAGTTCGGTTTTGTAACCCTGGTTCGGCCGCCGATGAAGCAGAAGAGCAAACAAATGACAAGTGTAAGGACTTAGTAGATAATGGATATATTCTTCGACCGCTAGCTTTTGAGATTCAGGGCGCTGTCGGCCTAGGCACGGAATTTTTTTGAGCAAGCTTTGTTAGAGCTTAAGCATATGTACTGAGGAACCTAGGGCAAGCAATTTTAAAACAGAGAATCTCCTTGACAATACAGATTGCGAACGCCGTTTGCGTATTTGGCACAAAAATTGACAAAACAACTTTCGACGAAATTTTTCTTGTAATACAATTTATGTAATTATACATAGTTTCTCGTGTCGATTTGCGTGTTTTAATAGAAGAAACATGACCACAATCGAGTTTAATTGTAAACACTAATCATTTCCTTTTTATGATTATCGCTTCCATATCTAGATAGTTTCAAGGATTTTACAAGAAGTAGCAGACACTCAGCAACAATTCAAAGCAGAAATTGCTGGGACTTGTAGCCCCTAAGTCGACGAAACATAAGTTAACTTCGCGTATCATTGCAAAATCAAAGTTACTAAAAAAGTATACATCAATAAGAAAATCAAAAATGGTAGATTAAAAATTTAGTTTAAAAATACGATTTTTTTTTAATAATCTGAAGTTTTTTTTTACTGTTTTTCTAATCAGAATATACACAATGATTAGATTTTTTTGAAAAGCATGTTCAGATGTTTGCATAAAATGGTTGAAATATTAGCAACAAAGATCATCCTGAGTTTAAATTCGTTTCGGTTATTGTTTGATAATCTGTGCTTAAAATATTTTCGTATAAAATTCTTTCGGGTACTAAGCACTCAACGACCCTTAAAGCAGTCAAAGCACTCTAAATCAAAAATTTATGCAACTTAAAGTAAAAGTATTGTAGTTAAAAGTGATTGGCCAAACATAGCCAAGGCAACTCAATCAACACCGTCAGGCATTTCATTAACAAGCAATTCAAGTATAATTATATATATATATATATATACATAAACATATATATATACAACATATATATATAGACAACTCGCACTCGCAACAGAAGACCACTCCCAAAACAAGACGACTGGCCAAATCTTAAGAAAAAGACAACTCGCAAAAGAGACAACCCGTATAAAACTCGGAAGAAATCTTGATTTTCCTTTAATCTAATTGTGAAAAAAAGCTGTGAAACAACAAAATCTTCGAAGCCTCAACACTTTTTTTGGGTATAAAATCTTAACATATCAACGCTACAAATCAAGAGCTTACAGCTGCAAAATAGATAATTGATTTCATCGTTTTCAATAGTTTTTGGTTTCTTCTGTTGCAATTGTTCATATTTAGGACATTTATAGGGCTTTTCTCCGGATTTGAACCGAATCAGACAATTTTCCATTTAATTATGTTCGTTCCTTATTTACTGAATGATTTCTGATACAGTGGGGTTGTTGATACAGTTGGGTTATCAGCTTAATATTATTACTGTTAGATTTTTCGTAGCAACAAATCGTAAATCATTGGGAGGTAGCAGTTAATTATATTATCATGTACAATATATACTTGGTAGAAAATGAGGAACATCTTTAAAAAGTGCCATCAGCATAACAAGTCAACCAGGATTTTCCAAGTTTAGTTCAGCGGTCAACACAAAAAGGTCAGTCGGAATCCCCGGCCCTATGTCATGAGCCAAGAAATTCTCCCCTTTAGAGTGATTATAATTTTCACGGGAGTTGCTAAATCTCTTTTTCGTTGAATCTCTCTTGCAACCGAAGTAAATTTAGGCTTGTTTGCTGCGCATTGCGCATTCCTCAGAAACGGTGCTCGTTAGATTTTGAGAAACAGATATATTTGTGCTGTTTCTTTTATTTTTTGCATGACACTAAAACGTTTTGAAAATTTACATGTTGCACCCCAGAAGTAATGAAACGTTTAACAATCATGCTTTCATAGCCTCCTTTTTTCAACCAAATTTAAATTGAAAAAATGCAAAAAAGATAAGACAAAAGTAGAAAACTTACTTTTCAACTTCTCGTTCATGAAATAACACACAATGTGAATGATTTAGTTTTTTCTCCACAAATAAATCATTATGTATAAATGCTTGCCAAAGTCTTTTTGAGCATCTCCAAGATTTTAACCAGCTTTTTTCATTAAATCGAATTTCAAAATTTTTTTCATCTTCCAAGATCAAGGTTCGTTTACCGCGCTGACTTGTAATGAATTGCAACATTGTTCGATTATTGAGTGGAAACATATTTAGAAAGCAAAATGATGATTTACAAAATAATGCAAACATTATATAGTTATATATATGCATAAAAATCAAGGTGTACTAATTAAATTAAAAATACATCATATTAATCAAATCAGATTACTGAAAAAAAGTATATTTCTTCATTTAAAGATATATATATATATATATAAATATATAAATATACTTTTTTTCAGTAATATGATTTGATTAACGTGATGTTTTTTATTTAATTAGTCCACCTGAATTAACATGTATAGTTTAAAAAATTACCGTGGTCGACTAATTGCACAACAATCGACTGCATCCTTTTTTTAAAACTTACCTAGAATGAAGTTTGTGTTTTTGGATGCGTATGGCGAAAGAGTCATGAAACACTCCTGGCGGTCGAAAGGGAAACGGGTCACATCAAACTGACAGGTCAGCTGGTATGTCACCAATGAACTGTACGCCAGCACCATTCCAATGTCGAATACTGCTTGTCTGGTCATTGACTGGTACTTTACCAGTGACGTCTCCCACACAACTTTAATAAAAGACATTTATCGGATAATTAAAAATATAACACTGGATGTATCAGGAACTCAGTTGGATTCGATCCACTCACCACTCAAAGGGTTCCACCCCTTTGGTAATAATTTACGACATCCATATTCAGCCGGCCGAAATTATAATCTTTCATGAAAACCGCCTATATACTTGTGATATGCGTTGCGATATCGGTTGAAAACAAGTTGTAATTCAATACTGTATTTGGAATATTGCATTTAGATTTTCTCTTTCTTTTGTTTTATTTTGTTACTGAGAGCTAGATCAGTGTTACGAACTCTGATCTCTCACTTATTCTCAATGTCATCACTCACTATGACCTTGAGCATACCATAAAAGTAATGAGTAAGCACCATAGGTTGGTTGTACATACATAGACAAATACTGCTACTGCAGTAGCGGTATGACACACCCCCCTCGGTGGAAGAAATAAATTATACAACATAAGTAGGATAATTTATTTAAAAAGATTTCAATATACTCAGTTCATAAGAAAGTCTCCTGGTTAATTGACGGTTTAGTTTATGGAACTCTCAGTTTTCTTCCAACTCTATTTCCCAACTCGGGTTCCATTCAACTCCTTCGTCTAGTGTAGCATACCCAAATTTTCGCATGAAGAGGTGTCTTTCGAGTCGTCTTACTTTTGATTCCATTGGTCTATCGCTTCGATCCTTGAAGTCTCTCAGTTGATTTCTGTATTCCTTAAGTGCTTCCTTCAGAAGTCCTCCCCCTGTGAGATTTTCTGAAATCTCTTTAATTGAATGCTTTATCGGGTCTCCAAAGCGTTTAGGTTCCTTGTTTTTTGTTTGCCTGGAGCTTCGTCTGATACCCGACTCTTCAGTACTCGACTCGTCCGAAAATCCTTGTGGTGGTTCGAAAGTTGTATCTTTTTCCGAAATTTGGTGGGGATTTCCTCGGATTTCGTCTGCAACTCGCTGTACTCCTCTTTTTAGCAATTGGTCTGCATACTTCTCCCACTCGGACGGTGCTAAATTGCGATTGTGGAATGTGTCCACTATGTCCTCTAGGGGAGTGTGGGAGTCAATATATTTCAATTTTGACCGCTGTTTTGGTTTCGGTGTAGAACTTGACTGATTTTTGGTGTCCACTTTTTCCGGCCTTGATGTCGATTGCTCCTGTTCCGGGTTGACTGCCGTCGCAGTTTGGCTTGTCCCCTGTTGCTGCTTGTTTCGATTTTTCTTTTCTTTCCCGTTCTTTTCCTACTTCTTGGTGTCGTTTTCCTCTATAGTTGATTTTGGGCCCGCCAAATTGGGTTTTGCTCTTTTGACTGCCAAGTTCAGACCTCCCCCTGATTCTGTGTCTTTTGAAGTCACTATTGTTTGGCTCTTTTGAAAACGCTCTATGGGATTCATCGTATCTGCGATCTCCATTTCTTCTTGTAGTTCTTCATCTGATCCCAGCTCCTCGAGTAATTCTGGGGAACTGATCCTCTTAAACTTTTTTGTAGGTTCCACCGATGGACTTTTACTCGTGCTTCGCTGATTATCTTGTGTCAGCCCCGTTTTCGGTTGTCCAATATCCGATTTCCTATAAATCGAGCCAGTAGACGTCTTGATTGTTGAGTCTGTTTCAGAAGCGATTTTCCCTTTTAGTTGTCTGGTTAATGCTTGTCCGCTTTTTCTTAGTGGGTCCTTTCTGAGTATTGTTTTAGGTGGTGATTTACATTGACTTTCCACTTTGTCCTCCACAAATCCTTTCTCCCAAGAGTAAATCATCTCCTTTCGAAGATCGGGATTGAGTAGTCCTGTCTCGTCCACTAATTTTCTGATATCGTTTTTAGCCGCATCTCTTCTCTCGTTGTTCCATCGGGCGTTCGCCTCCAACAGATCCTTTAGAGCTTTGGCCTTTTCTTTATCTCTGTCCGATGTTAGCTGCTGCTTGTGCAGTGGGCTTGTATCTCTGCTGAGTTGTCCTTTGCGTACTATTTTGAGGTTCTCTCTCGACTGGTCAATTCTACGTTTCAATTGAGAAGCCGTCAGCGCTGAGCGTTCCAAGTGTTGTTTGTCTAAATACTCAGAATCATTTAAAAACCTATCCCTCACAATTTTAAATTCTGTTTTTGGTAGTCTGCCAAAATGTGCTTGAAACGGGGATACTTGAATGGTTTTCTGCTTGTTCCACCGTAAATCTCTCATTATAATACTAAGACATAACTTGATTGATTTATTATTTTCTTCGAGCATCATCACCCCCAGTCTTCTTTTTATAGTTTGGATTGTACGTTCAACCAAACCACAGCCTCTGTGGTCCCCCACCGGACAGAATTTTTGCTCGATATTGAGTTCCGAACAGAATTTTTTTAGCGTTTTCGCCTTAAAACCTGAAAATTGGTCCGAACGAATTGATTCAGGAACTCCATGCGTGTCGATATATGATCTCAAAAATTTTACTGTGCACTTCCCACTTGTAGATTTTGTAACCTTCACTGATGGAAATTTTGAGAATCGATCTATCGCTACTAAAAGGTAGATTTTTTTCCTTTTTGGTTTTCTATGGGCCCCGCATAATCTAATTGTACTTCCTGTCCCGGCTGCGTGAGCAGTGGCAGTGGTTTTGACGTATTTTTCGAAATAAGATATTTTACATTCTTACCATATCTGGTACAGCTACGGCACTCCTCTGCCAGATTCACAATGTCCTTATTCATGTGTGGCCACCACAGGTATTGCGCTGCTCCCAGCATAGCCTCTTGGCCTGGATGCCCTCGATGTATTCTTTTTAGGACAGCTTGTCTGAGTTGTACGGGGACTGCTAGCCGGTTATTCACCAAGATGCAGTCGTCCTGAACTGCCATCTGTGACCACAACGGGTTTGTATAAGGTCCCATTAATTCAAAGCCTTGTTTGTCCCCTCTTTCTATCACTCGTCTGAGGCGGTCCATCCACGTGTCTTCGGTGGTCAATTCTGCTAGTAGACTTTTGTCGAACAGTTTTGCTGAAAAGTCCAGGGTCTCTACTTGTTGCTGCTTTTGCAGTTTATTTTTTCCTTCGGCGGTTCTATTGAGCACACTTCCTCTTCACTCTCCGCCTCTTCTGTAGTCGTCATGTCCATCTCTATTACCTGCACCTCACTGAGTTTCCGTTGCGCCGATGCGATTGGTTTAGTCAATGCTGAACTCGATTCATGTTCCGAGCTGTCCCTGACTTCTTGGGTGTGTGCCACCAGATCTCTATTTTCCCGTATATTGTCTTCTCCGCCTATTAGTTGCCAGAATGAGAGTAGTCTTTGATCTGCTTCTCTTTGTTGATCCGGTTCAAGCTGCCATTTTACTCGTGATGCATGTCGTGTTTCACTGTCTGAGCTATCTCTGTTTTTCCGGCCACCTCTAATTATTTTCCTTGTACGCTGGACTGTCTCTGTGATCTCCTCCTCTTCCGAAAGTTCGTTTGTGTTGGATAGTGAGCGGTTCCACTTTGGGTCCATTAGAATCTCTTCGCGTTCCTCATTTCGCCATTCTTGTGGTGAGGCCGACCACCAGTCGTATGATCTGTTTCCTGACATCTCGATCCTTGAGTCTGTTTTTTTTTTCTAATTTCTGGCACTGGTTGTTTTACGATTTTGGAATTATTTAAGACTGACTGTTTGTTGGGTTGATTTGACAAAAAAGTGATCTGTTTTTGTTGAACTTTTGTGTTTAGCTGTTTTTGCAGTCGTGAAAACTGTTTTCTTTCGTTACGGTCGAGCTTTGTTCGTTTTTGACCGTTTTGGTTGCTATAGCAACCATTACTTGATGACTGTTTCTTTGCATTCCTTCTAGAACATTCTAGAACGTTTTCGTTCCGGTTGAGCGACCCAGTTTCTTTAAGCCTACTGTTCCAGCAGTCGAACGCTTCATGAAAGGAGTTTATTGTCGCTACTACAAACTTTTCGTCTAATTCGGATTCACGCCAGGGATCATTGAAAGGATCACGCGATAAATAATCAACTATGCCCATGTCCCTCGCCGGAATGTGAACTATTTTGAACTGATATGGCAGTTACCGGTCAACCCATCGGGTTAAACGTGATTGGTAGGTCTTGTTCGATTTGTTACTATCCAATGCTGTTGTTAGTGCTTTATGATCAGTTGCAATGGTAAATGGTTTTCCCAAGAGGTAGTGTTTATATCTATCTACTGCCCACACAACTGCCAATAACTCCAATTCATTTGTTGAATATTTTTTTTCTTGGGCATTTAGGTATCGGGATGCGAATGAAATTGGGACCCACAGGCCTTCATCATTTTGTTGTTCTAAAGTAGCCCCCCACTCATATTTTTTTACCGGGAGTTTCATGTTTTTTAACTTTTTCTTTTGATTCTCTTCTTTTAGAAGTGGTCTTAATTTTTCAGTCAGACTTGCTGCGTTAGGTACAAATTTAGCTAAATGATTTATACTTCCCAGGAATGACCTTAGCTGTTTAAGCGATTTCGGCGGGTTTAAATTTACTACCGCTTCCGTTTTAGTGATTTTTGGTCTAACCCCTGCTTCTGAGAGATGATGACCCAACCAATTCACTTCTTGTTTGAAAAATTCGCATTTTGATAGTTTCAATGCCAAATTTTCCGCGTCCAATTTTTTCAATACTGCTTCTACCAAGTTTCCATGTTCAATTTCACTTCCCTTTGACACAATAAGTATGTCATCCAGAAAACAGAACGTGTTTTTAGCGTGGTTGATTGTTCTATCCATGGCCTTTTGAAATTCAGCTGGCATATCTGCTAAACCGTAGAACCCTGTCAAAAATCTGTCAAGGTTCCGGTTGCTTTTCCACCAACAATGTTGAAGTTGCATTGTCTAGCTGTATCAGCAGCCAATTTTAATTGACTGTACGCATATTTCAAATCTAACACCGAAAAATATAGCGTAACTTTTTTGTTTTCAGTCACAATCTGGCTTACCCCATCAATGAGTTCATCTACATTCGGCATTTGGTATTTATTTTTGAACAATTGTCTATTGATTGGTTTCGCGTCCA